CTATACAAAAAAAGATAAGAGCGTTGGAATTTTGTGTATAAGAACGATTCTTTTAATGGATGACTTATCAGTTATTCGAAAAACAGAGGCTTTAAATACAATTAAATTATCAGTGTCTGGTGAAAGATGGCTGAAAAAGAAGCAAATGAAGAGAGTCGACTAATGGATAGTGGTTTATCAAGTATTGGTGATTTAAGAAGTATGATAAGCATGGACGAGGCATGGGATACAACTGGTTATCCTAGTAGTAGTTACAGCCTGAGAAACAGTACGATCGAGTTAATGAGCAGTGGTACCACAATGAACTTTTCGATATTGATGTCTGATATTGCCGATGTACCTGATAATCAACCACCATCGCCAATACCTGAGAGACATTCGCCCAGTATAAAATCGAGTCATACGTATACTGGTCCATTCGTATTAATGAAAGAATATGAAGAAGACACTAACATGTCATATTGTACGATGAATGATTACTCAGCAACTACTGTGGAAAACATGTTCGTTCCGTATGAAATGATAACACATGATGAAGAAGAAGCATCGAAGAGTGAGTCAAGTAGTAAGTTTCGTTTTGTGGAAGGGATCACGAATGTATTATATATTTGTTTTAGAAACAGAAGAAGAGAAAGAAGAACGAGAAGAAAATTGCCCTTCTTCTGATAATTTTATCAATAGACCATCAAATACAATGGATTATAGCATATGTTGCTTGTCGTCAGCACCCAATGTAGCTGACTGTGGTCCCAGTGCTAATGGTATAAAATTTTACTTTAAGCTTCTCGCTAAAGATACTACTGATATCGTATTTTAGCTCATAGGGATTGGCCTATAGGATGTGTTTCTTTTGAACATCTGGATTCGATTTCTGTTGAAGAATATTTGATAAATAAACGTATTATAACAGATCAGCAGCGTGACAGAGTAATTCTCAGCGAAAGGAATTTATTAGCTAATCGTCTGCAAATAAAAGGAATTGCCATCCACAACAATATGTTCATATGTCCAAAACATAGAAACACATTCGGAGTAGGTTGGAAGGATAGAAATGGTGTTTGTCATCATCCAGACCATGAAATTAATCAACGTTCCAAGCCGAAGGATTGTAGAAGAGTCAATTTATTGATTTGCTCAAAGATTGACAGATTTCCTATCGGTGGAAGGTGACCTTCTCATTTGATTGTGAGACTTATATTTTTATGAATCTGTTCTGCCTATCTTTTTAGACTATGTTCTAAACACAGAAAATCAATCGTTTCCGCCATTGAAGTTGATACTTATAGTCAACTTAGTAATAGAGCACTTGATCCTTCGTATGAAATCGATGATAATAGAGACAGCGTGAACAAAATTTTATTTGAAGTTGGTCTCAGTCCTATAAAATCTCAAACACGCAAATCTCTTAAACAGCAAAGCAAAGGTGGCGTTCGTCGTATTTTATCTAAACTCCAGCGTGGTATTCAACTATTTCAAGGTATAAATCAGTAAATATATTACTCTCTTAAATTTGAATGCTCATTTTAGATAAATTAGCTGAAACTTTAGTACCTGGAGAAGGCGATGAGCTGTTACGAATGGCGAAACTCAATCAACAGTCGTTTCAAGATGATTATAATCAGCAAACACATAATAATGAAATTATTGAAAACATAAAGAAAATCTATAATCAATACAAAATAGAAAAAAGACCTTTTATCGAGCAAGTTCGACTATTAACTTTATTGCCAAGTTCATGGACATACGATCAAATCAAGTTGAATTTTAATTGTTCACAACATGCCATCAGATTAGCACATGCAATGATGAATGACGAGAAGCATTATCTTATGAACGAGGAGAGTCGTATAACTCGACAACGTGCTGATCCAGGGAGAGTGAGACATTTTATATCATGGTTAATTGACAGTCAATTACTAGTGTCAGGTAAAATTACATTACATGGGTTGTCTACTTACTCTTTCATCGAATCATTATAAATAGGTAACTATGGAGTCACCACACTTAAATTGGACAATGGAGAAAAGTGTGTTATACCTAAGCAGATTCTTCAGTCCCAGAGAACTCATGCAGTAGTAGAGTATTTCAAATATTGTGAAGAAACAAACTTCAATAATTTATGCAGATCAAAACTATTTGAAATACTAGATAGTATAAATCCATCATCTCAACGTGCTGTATCAGGTCTTGATGAGTTTGTCACTGAAGGTGTTGCTGCATGGGATACTATTTCTAGTAAGTGAAATTTCGCAATCGCTAATAAAACTTACTTTTTCAATTTCAGACATCGCCGCTAATCTACCAATACCACAAGCCGATAGAAAGCGACTGAAGAAACAAATTGATTTAGCAGAATTGTATCAGAAAATCAATCATATGGGGCATTGCTTAGATAATGCTGATTGCGTAACGCACTGCACTAGATTCGGATTGAGCGATCTCTCGTGTGCTAATCAATATATTGATTGCACACAGCAGCATGAAATAATATGCAAAGATTGCTTAAATGTAATATTAACTCTTGATGAAATTGAAGAAAAAATTAAAGGTATTCATAATCAAGACTTAAGACGAGAGGTCGCATACGATTTTGAAAACAGTGTTCAGCACATTCATGAATGGTTTCGACATAATGTAAGAGCTGCTCAGCAGAATCACGAAAAAGTAAAGATTATTTCTGATATGCGCTTCAATGAAGTTTTTGCTACATTTGATTGGGCTCAGAAAGTGTTACCTCAGGAACATCGAGAAGGTCAAAGCAGCTATTTTGGCAAATCAGGAATGTCACTGTTAATAGGATCGTTTTTATGGAAAGAAAAAAGTATCGCATCGTCCAATTGTGAGGTTTCCAATGACAACCTTGGTACTTCAAACAATGCGATCTTCCACACACAATCATATATTCTTGCTCTTACAACTGCTGCACAAAGTGAATTAGACACATTAAGTGCGAGCGAAATTATATTAAGACAATTTATGGAAGATAATCCGTTTATGGATGCAATATACAAGCGAACTGACAATGCTAGCAATTTTAGTTCAAATTCAACTCCTGAGGCTGAAAAGCTCATATGCGATCGAGTGAGTTGTATTTCGCAACTTTACTTATGAGTATCATTTTCTTTCAAAGCTTGGAATTCGTTTGATAAAACGCGACTATAGTGAAGTTCAAAAAGGTAGAGATATTTGTGATCGAATTTCTGGAGTTGCAAAAAGTCGTATGCGATCGTGGATCAATTCTGGTAATGATTTGTGCAATGCGATGGATATAAAAGAAGGGATGGAATATGCAGGAGGAGTAAAGAACACACGCATCGGTGTAGCAGAAATTATTCCTGATATTGGTATGTGACAAACTCATTGTTACATATGAATAAAATCTGAATATTTTAGGTAAAATTGACAAGACAAGTATACAAAATGTTTCATCAATACGATCGATTGAGTATTACCCAAATCATATGCGAATATTTAAAGCATCTGGAATTGGACAAGGCATTTTGATACCTTATAAACAGCTGGAGTTCGAGTCGAATATGAGACTTATATGCCCATTCACAAGTGCTATTGACAGTGAACAAGTCAGTGCTGTACCTAAGAAGTAACATTATTACAATATGTTTTTAAAAATGGATGAAGTTTTTTTTAAATAGTCGAGCTGATCGCCGGTATCACAGTATATTTATTTGTCCAGTAGCAGGATGCCAGTCTGCTTTCGAATCGGCAGACGACCTCGACGTTCATATAGCTGCAAACATTCACACAATTATTGCGGAAGAACATCGAACATCGAATGATGTAGCACGTTTACATTTAGTTGAATCTGTTCGAAGTGCATCAACCACTGCCAGATATCAAACAACAAAGGTTTACGAAGATCAAGAAAATCAACAAATAAATTTGACTCAGTCTTCTAATTATAAGTATTTTACTAGCGTGGGATGGGCACTACGAAAAAGAAAACACAATAATCCCATGACCAACAAGGTTAAAGTTTACATAGAAAAACGATGGCTAGAATCACAAGAGCACAAATCAAAAGCGTCTGCAGAAACTATTCAAAGTGAAATAAGAACAATAAGGTCAAACACGGGCATCAAGCTATTTGATACACAAGAGTACCCAACTTTAAATCAGGTAAAATATCAATGTCGGAAATTAATGAAGAAATACCAAATTTATACACAAGAACAGCTGATTGAAGAGCTAGTCGAACATAACTTGAAGCCTCAAACAAACAGCATCTAACATATCTTATACACTCTAGCTGGAGCGCAGATCAACTAACTATCGAAATTTGTGCACTCTATTATTCTCGTTTATAATCATGCAAATTCTTACATCTTCCAACAATATCAACACTCACTATTTGCATGCATTTTTTTCTATAC